AGCAGAGGTATCATCATTAGCAGTTCCAGCAGGATCATTGTGACCAACATCTGGCGATACACCATCAGCAGTACAAACAACATCCTTATCCATCTCCATTGACAAATCATCAAGACCCGGGGACTTTGGATCTGATACTCTGTTAGCACTAGTCTCATCATCAGCATTGGCAGCAGATGCATTGTGACCAACATCTGCATTGCGACCGACATCATTGGTTCCCTTACCAACAACAAAATCCTCAACACTATCAGTGAAATCGACATTATCTTCAAGAGTATCATCTGGTTGCTGCCCCTCCAACATCTTTATATGCTCATCAACTTGTTCAATGCTCGAACTGTAATGAGTAGCCATCCTCAACAAAGCCCTCTTATAACTTTCCATGTCAGTCTTCAACTGATATGCCTACAAAAACACAAAAACAGCCCAAAAGCAAACCATAAACATTCTAAAGAAACTCACATTCCTTTTAATGAACACCTAAGACACACGTATACAAACCACATATGTTTGAATTCTCACAAAAAAAACACCTTCCAAACGATGAGTACCATAAAGTATTCCTTTAACAAAGTAATGCAAATCACTATTCTTTTAACAGAAACCACAAGTACACTAAAGCAAGCCAAAGAACAAACAACAGAAAACACAACTAACCAACACATGATTAAAATAAAGTATTCCGTAAACAAACTAATGCAAACCACTATCCTTTTAAAGCACACTGAAAGTACGTTAAAGAAAGCCATAAAACGAATAACACAACAAAATCACTCACTTCTTCAACCGAATGAATACCATCCAAGTTTATGTAAAGATAGGTAAGCTTCGGAAGATCCCTTTCTCTCTCTCTTATATCAAGATCATCTACCGGCCTTTTCCTCTTTGTACCCTTCGCACATCCTCGTCCCATTGGTTGACTAGAGGTTGCTTGTTCTTCCGCCACTACATCTCGATGACCAATAGAGAGATGACCGTCGTCCATCAGTACTTGAAAAGCAGCACTTGCAACTTTGTACGACCTGTGCCTACAGGTCGGTATGGGCAGCTCAGGGGGGTTCTTCAAACGGTCAAGAATCGAAATCTGCCACATATACAAACAGACAGAAGTCAAGCAACCACAGACAAACTGTGTCAGAAAGATTATAATACACACCACATAAATGATAAACTATGCCAGAAAAAACCAAACCATAAATATTTTTAAACAAACCATAAACATCTTCAAGCACACCACATTCGTCAATAAACAAACCGTAAATGATAAACTGCAGAAACATTATAACAGGGGGGAAAAACCAAACCATAAATATTTTTAAACAAATCATAAACATCTTCAATCACACCCACATTCGTCAATAAACAAACCATAAATGATAAACTATACCAGAAACATTATAACAAAGGGGCAAAAAGCAAACCATAAATATTCTTAAACAAACCATAAACATCTTCAACCACACCACATTCGTCAATAAACAAACCATAAATGAAACAGTAAACCAAACTTCAAAAAGAGGTATATTTATCTACTTACAAAAAGAAGATGAACGTTAACAGGGAACTTTGATTTTGATTGAACCACTTCAACCATACTTTCATTGAAATGGTCAGCCACATGCTTACACCAATTATATTGGTTGAAGTCAACGACCATTTCATCTTGAAAAAACCCAGCATAGGAGAGGTTAATCTTCAAATTTCCACTGGGACACAGAACTGCCTCCATTGCATACAACACAAAAAGATTCATCCACTTCTTATTGTACTTCTCCTCTTCCAATACCAGTTTAACGTTCGCCAATGTCACCTTTCCTTTCCTAGTTTTGGAAATCCCTAACTCAATTCCCCACTTGTGCCTCTGGGCTGCACTGAACATATCCATCTTAACAGCATACAGTCCACGCGGCAAACCATAGACTCTCTCCACATCTGCCTCTCCAATTCTAAACTTCCCTGACCAAAGCAACGGGAAAGACCTTGAACTAACATCAAAACTTTTGCAAAGCCATTCAGTAAAATTATCCGGGAGTCTCGTAAGCTTAACCCTCGACACACCCGTAAAACCCAGAGGATCAAGCATCTGCAGTTTTTCTTCAGTTGTACTGTCAGCATCCATGACGGCAAGAATACGATTAGTATTACTGCGATGCCTCTTATCCGGCTTTCCAGGCACAGGAGAAACACCATCTTTCTCTCGCTAAGGTGTTGGAACTTTTTCCTTTTGTTTCCACTTTAGTGCATGTTTCTTACCAGGTGCCATGCCTACAAATCAACCAAAACACAAACCAACATAAGCAATCTAATACCAGAACATATATAAAAAATGCAAACATCAAGGGCGTAATGCAAACTGTATAACCATGAAAACAATCCAATAATCAAATTTAAAGGAGACAAACAACAACTGCAAATGAACCACCAATATCACCGTGGAAATACACCATAGTTGTATTAAAAACCTACAAAAAGGCCCCAATCAAACCCACAAACACCCTAAATGTCACCAAACACAAAGCGCAGCACCAAAATAAACAACAAAACAACAGAACTATTGAACACCACCACAAACGACTCAATAATCAGATGTAAAGGAGACAAACAACAACTGCATTTGCACACCAGTAAATCTCCTAAACCAAACTGTGAAATCCGAAACACAAACCACAAAACCTTTTAAAAGAACCACCAACAGCAGCCTGGAAATACACAATAGTTTTATTAAAAACCTCCAGAAAGGTCCCAATCGAACCCACAAACACCCTAACTGTCACCAAACACAAAGCACACCACCAAAATAAAGAACAAAACAACAAAACTGCTAAACACCACCACAAACGACTCATGAGAAACCAAAAACCCTAAAACATGCAAAGCACACCACAAAAATGAAGAAACATTCAACAAAACCTAACCAGAACGCACAAGTATGAAATTTCCTCGTCTCCTACAACAAATTTAGACTGGATGCGTCAAAACATCGCAGAAAAGTGGAAAAGGAAAGTAACAGAGGGCTAACATGAAAACGACGGTTATAAATTCAATAGCAGCACCAAGCAACGACATGCTAACGAAAACGACAACGGCGACGCCAAACTAACACCATACAAGTGGAACTCCGATGACGCCAAACGACAATAGCGACTTCGGAGGCCAAAACTGACGACAGAGGAGAAGACAGTTTAGCGGAGGAAATCACCGGCATACCTCGAAATTCACTTCGACGACGGAGGGAACAGAATCGCGCGAAGAAAATCCACAAGCCGCATACGGAATCGCTCGATGCAGATGGAAAATTAGCGAGAACAGGGAGAGAGCAACCGAAGGAGACGTCGGAGAGCAGTTCGTGAGCAGAAGGGAAAGCGGAAAACGGAAATGACAGAATCGTGCGCTTCAATGAATTTTTAATATTAATTTTAAATTTCAAATTTAATACAGGTAAAAGAAAAAAACTTATTAATTAATATTTGCTGCAATTTACCCTTATACCCTTGTTGTTATACTAACAACACTTAAGGTGTTGTTATGCTATCCGGAGCCCTGGGTTTTCGTATTCATCATCTTTTCAGGAGTTGTTCGGTGCTTATGGTCTCTGGTTTTTAGGCTTCTCTTTTTCCTTTTCTCCTTCCCCCACTTTTCCTTCGAGATTTGTTCTTCTTCTTGTCCACTTTGCTCTTTGCGGCCTTTTCCCTGGGAATCGTGCTTTTTGCTTCTTGTCTAGGGCTTGGTTTTTGCCCTACCTCTTGGTGTTTGCTGTTTTTTTTGCCTTTGTCTTGTTTCTACGCCGGCCTTACTATGGATCCTAGCATAGTCGACCAGCTGACCATCAAGTTTAATGGCAAGAATTTTGTTCTTTGGGAATTCCAGTTTCACAACCTTGTTGAAGTGTGTCCTTTGCTAGATATTCTGACGGGTGATGCTCCACGCCCTTCTGCAACTGTTGAAAAGGAACGTGTTGATTCAACAGTGGGCAACGCTCAAACTATTATTTTGCTCCTGGCCTCTGTTGATTTTTCTCATCGCTCTTACTCTTCGTCGGTTTCCTACGGTGCTACAATCTGGACTCATCTTTTTACTATCCACTCCCATCAAGATGCTTCATGCCACTTTCAGCTCGAGATATAATTGGCCAATCTTTATCAAGGATAACGCGATATTCTGAATTAATATCACTCGTTGCCGATCGTTCTCGTTTGATGCAATTCTTAATGCGTCTTTTGACTGCCTCCTTAATTTATCTCTCCTTCATTGCAATATGACAAGTATTGTTGTGGCCGTTGCTGAGCTTGTCCGTGACAAGACTAGGCTTAAATGCCAATCTCAGCTTGATTCGCCGGCTATGTCAGACACTGCCTTTGTAGTTGGTCGAGGTGCTTCTTCTAGACGTCCTCAATTCCAGCACCTTGACTATAGTACTCTAACTTGTCATTTTTGCAATGACGTTGGTCATATTCTGTTGAAATTATAAAATAAAGTTTATTTAAAACTATCAAATCAGAATGTCCTACAGAACCAAGTTGTGGTAGTTTGCTAGAAAAGTCCAGAAGTGGTTAGGTTTGAAATTAATAAGTTAGTTGCATGATTGTGGGATTAAACAAAGCAAAAAAATAAGCACCAGAAACTTAAGTCGGTTGCTTGGATATTTTGCAAATTTGGAGACTATAAATAGCCATGTACTTCGTTGGAAATGGGGTGTAGTGTAGAGAAGCAAGAGCTAAGAAGCAGAAGCAATAAAGAATAAGTTATTTTCTCCATCCCTCTGCCAATCTCAACTCTCTTGTCCCAAATAAAAAAAACTCCCTTCCATTTCCAACAAGCTCTCAACGAGCTCCTCCCACCACTGTCATTTGCCCACCAAATCCTTTAATAATCATATTATTTCCAACAAAGTGGTATCAGAGCTCGAGTTATTCTTAAGAATGCTCTGTGGTTGCAGCGTAGTCTGATCTTCCACATCAGAAAAGAATTTCTCGTGTTTTTGTTATCACGATTGTCCCATGGCCGAAAAATCCACTTTCCCCATTAGATTTCCCCACCTTACCAAAACCAATTACAAAAATTGGTGCATTCGTATGAAAGCCTTGCTTGGATCCCAAGATGCTTGGGATATTGTTGAGAAAGGTTACGAGATTCCCGTGCAGGATTCTCGGTTATCTCCTGCTGAAAAGGAGGTATTGAGAAAAAAAAGAGAGAGTGATCAAAAGGCACTCACTCTAATTCATCATTGTCTTGATGAATCGATGTTCGATCAAATAGCAGATGCTACCACAACGAAGGAAGCATGGGAAATTTTGCAAAAGGAAATGCAAGGCGTAGAACCAGTAAAGAAGGTTCGACTTCAGACACTAAGGGGAGATTTTGAAGTGATTAAAATGAAGGAAGGTGAATCTGTTTCAGATTACACCGCCCGTGTGAAGTCAGTCGTCAGCAAACTGAAGCAATATGGGCAGAAAATTGAAGAGACCAAAGTGGTGGAGAAAATTCTACGGTCATTATTACCAAAGTTTGACTATGTGGTGGTGGCCATGGAGGAAGCTAAGGACGTGTCAAAAATGACGGTTGATGAAGTCATCGGTTCATTACAAGCCAGAGAAGAAAGACTAAATAAAAGAAATGAAGAATCATCAGAACAAGTGTTAGCTACAAAAGCTACCACTGAGGAGAAAGAAGGTGCCCGAGGAGGAGGTCAGTACAGAGATCGAGGCAGAGGCAACTACAGATGCAGAGGAAGAGGCAAAGCTCGAGGAGCATATCAAAGTAGAGATGGAGTAAATTTCACCATGAACAATTATGAATCGTCCACTAGAGGCAGAGGTCGTGGTCGTGGACGAGGAAGAGGAATTTGGAGATCAAATGAAGGTCGCTATAAATCCAACGTTCAGTGCCATAATTGCTCGAAGTACGGGAATTATGCATCATACTATTGGAGTCCGCCTAAAGAAGTGGAGGAGATAGCAAACAACGTGCAAGAAGAAGAAGTCAAAGGCACATTGATGTTGTCACATTAAGGAGATGAAAAACCAAGAGATAACATGTGGTATCTGGATAATGCAACAAGCAACCACATGTGTGGAAAAAGAAACATGTTCGTGGATATGGATGAATCAGTGAAAGGAAATGTCGTATTTGGAGACTCCTCAAAGGTTCCTATCAAAGGTAGAGGAACTATACACATCGGGCTCAAGAATGGATCACAACAATCTATCAATAATGTGTACTATGTCCCAGACATGACTAGTAACATCCTGAGTTTGGGTCAGTTGATGGAGAAAAATTATGAAGTTCATATGGTGAATCGTCAATTGGAGCTGTTAAATGAGAAGAAGCAGTTGTTGGCCAGAGTCCCAATGTCGAGAAACAGAATGTTCACGCTGAACATTCAAACTGAAATGGCAAAGTTGAAAGCATGTGTGAAGGACAATACATGGCTATGGAATCTGAGGTATGGCCATCTAAATTTTGGAGGCCTGAAGTTGCTCGATCAGAAGAAGATGGTGCATGGTCTGCCAGTGATCAATCATCCAGACCAATTGTGTGAAGGATGCTTAGTTGGAAAGCAATTCAGGGCAAGTTTCCCGAAGGAGTCCCTGTCACGAGCTAAAGCACCACTTGAGCTCGTCCATTCAGATCATTGTGGACCGATCACCCCAACATCGTTCGGGAAGAACAAATACTTCCTATTGTTCATTGATGACTACAGTAGAAAGACATGAGTTTACTTCTGAAGCAAAAGTCAGATACATTTGAAGCTTTCAAGAAGTTCAAGATGATGGTGGAGAATGAAAGTGGCCGCTACATCAAAGCTATGAGATCATATAGAGGGGGAGAATTTATGCTCAAGAAATTCAGAAGGTTTTGTGAATATCAAGGAATTCGCAGGTTTCTCATAGTCCCAAGATCACCACAACAAAATGGAGTTGTTGAAAGGAAGAATCGAACTGTACTCAACATGGCGAGAAGCATGATGAAGAGCAAGAACCTGGCAAAGGAGCTATGGGCTGAAGCTGTTGATCGTCCAATCTACCTGCTGAACAGGTCACCAACAAAGAGTGTTTGGAATCAAACACCCCAAGAAGCTTGGAGCGGAAGGAAACCCACAATCTCTCACCTTCGGGTCTTCAGAAGTGTAGGATATGTGCACGTACTTGATCAAGAAAAGAAGAAGTTGGATGAAAAAAGCAAGAAGTGCATATTCCTGGGATACTCAGAACACCAAAAGGTTACAAAATGTTTGATCCCGTGGAAGAGAAACTGATCATCAGTAGAGACGTGGTAGTTGATGAAGAAGCAACATGGGACTGGACTACTGAAGCAAAGAAAAATTACACTTTTTATCCATTCACTATGGATGAAAGTGATGATGAACCAGATACAGCTACACCTGTGACAAGTCCACCCATTCACAGAGAGCCTGCCAGCCCAGAAGGAGAATCGAGTGAAAGTCCCCGAGAAAGGCCACAGAAGTATAGGAGACTTGAAGAAATTTATGAGGAAACGACAACCATTGAAGGTGATGAATTGACACTCTACTGTCATTTCATTGATAGTGAACCAGTTGATGTTGAAGAAGCCATGAAGGATGAAAAATAGAGAAGAACAAGACTTGGGAGCTTGTATCACTACCTGAGAACCAGAAGCCCATTGGTGTGAAGTGGGTATTTAAAGCAAAGAAGAATGCTAAAGGAGAAGTTGTCAGGCACAAAGCAAGATTGGTGGCTAAAGGATATAGTCAGAGACCAGGCATTGACTATAATGAAGTTTTTGCTCCTGTAGCGAGAATGGAGAGTATCAGGATGGTGATATCTCTCGCTGCTCAAAATGGATGGAAGATACACCAGATAGATGTGAAGTCAGCTTTTCTCAATGGATATCTCGAGGAAGATATCTATGTGGAGCAACCCCCTGGATATATCGTTGAAGGTCAAGAAGATAAGGTGTTGAAGCTGAAGAAAGCATTGTATGGTCTGAAACAAGCACCTAGAGCTTGGAATAGCAGGATTGACAAGTATTTTTAGCAATATGGGTTCAGCAAATGCCCACATGAGAACACACTATACTGCAAGGTGCAAGTGGGAGCAATCTTGATGGTTTGAATATATGTAGATGATCTTGTCTTCACAGGCAACGATCCTCAAATGTTTGAAGAGTTCAAGAAGACGATGGTTCGTGAGTTCGAGATGACAGACATCGGATTAATGTCATATTATCTCGGAATTGAAGTAAATTAAAAGGAGGAAGGAATTTTCATCTCACAGAGTGGTTTTGCCAAGGAAGTCCTGAAGAAGTTTAAGGTGGAGAATTGTAATCCTGTAAGCACACCAGCAGAGTGCGGACTAAAGTTATCCAAGGATGATAAAGGAGAGAAGGTCAACTCAACAGAGTTTAGAAGTCTCGTGGGAAGTCTGAGATACCTGACTTGTACCAGACCAGATATTCTCTACGCAGTTGGATTAGTCAGCAGATACATGGAGGCACCGGCAATGTGACACTGGAATGCTGCAAAGAGGATACTGTGCTACATTAAAGGTACAATCGATTATGGTCTACTTTATACCAAGTCAGAAAATTTAAAATTGGTTGGATACTACGACACTGATTGGGCAGGAGACATGGATGATCTCAAGAGCACTACAGGATTCGTATTTTTCCCGGGAGATACAGCTTTCACATGGAGTTCAAAGAAGCAAGCTATAGTGACTCTACCAACTTGTGAAGCTGAGTATGTTGCTGCGACATCGTGTGCGTGTCATGCGATATGGCTGAGAAAGTTGCTGAAGGAGTTGAACATGACACAGGAAGAGTCAACTAAAATTTTTGTGGATAACAAGTCTGCCCTGGCGTTAGCAAAGAATCCGGTGTTTCATGATCGCAGTAAGCATATTGATACAAGATATCATTTTCTGAGAGAATGTGTGGTGCAGAAAGAAGTGGCGTTAAAATATGTGAAGACTGAAGACCAGATTGCTGATATTTTCACGAAGCCGCTTAAGCAAGATGTGTTCGTCAAACTAAGGACGCTACTCGGAGTTACGACTAATTAAACTTTAAGGGGGAGTGTTGAAATTATAAAATAAAGTTTTATTTAAACTATCAAAGCAAAAATATCAGAATGTCCTACAGAACCAAGTTGTGGTAGTTTGCTAGGAAAGTCCAGAAGTGGTTAGGTTTGAAATTAATAAGTTAGTTGCATGATTGTTGGATTAAACAAAGCAAAAAAAATAAGCACCTGAAACTTAAGTCGATTGCTTGGATATTTTGCAAATGTGGAGACTATAAATAGCCATGTACTTCGTTGGAAATGGGGCGTAGTGTAGAGAAGCAAGAGCTAAGAAGCAGAAGCAATAAAGAATAAGTTCTTTTCTCCATCCCTCTGCCAATCTCAACTCTCGTGTCCCAAATAAAAAAAAACTCCCTTCCATTTCTGACAAGCTCTCAACGAACTCCTCCCACCACTGTCATTTGCCCTCCAAATCCTTTAATAATCATATTATTTCCAACATATTCAACCGCATTGTAAAAAGCGGAATATTTGTTCTTATTGCAAGAAATCAAGTCATGTTCTCTTCGATTGCCCGAATCTTTCTCATCTTGGCTAGTTTGCTCGTCGTCCATCCTCTGGTCGTTCTGGTGTGGGTTATGTCATGAACTTTGCTAGCCCTCATTCTTCATCGGTCGACTACTCCTCATCTCCTGCGAGCTCATCTTCTGGGGGTTTATCTCATGCCGATATGAAATGATCCTCATTACCCCTTGAACAAGGTTGATTTTCTTGCCAAAGGATCCATTCATGTTGGAAGGAAAAAGGGAAGAATTGGGCCAGGTGTTCAATCCGTTTCACGGTGCTTACTTTGACAAATAAGTCAAGCCAAGGTCACTGTTGGTGATGTTCCGGAGCCACACTAGTGTGTTCAGACCCCCACTAGTGTTGAAGAGTGGCTCTATTTTTGTGCCTTGCATATCATTTGCTAGCAGGTGTGGAACGAGCGGAACCATCGCATTTTCAAGAAAGAAGCTGTGACTCCGATTGTGGTGGCCTGGAAGATCGTCAGTAACATGCTGGAGTGGATTATCGCGCACCACAAGATCAGCAAATATGATGGCCATCGTTGGCTTCAGGCATGGAGACTTGCTAGAGTGTAGTTGGTGTTTTGTTTTATGTCGGTAGCTTGTTGCCGGCCTGCTGGGTGTTGGTCTTTTCTTTCCCCTGCTAATTGCTATGCTTTCCTCTTTTGTTTTGGCCTTATTCCGGCTTGTGGTCTGTTTCTTTCCGGTTTCTTCTCTTGCGTGGTTTTTTTGGGTTATTTGTTTCTTGTTGGCCGCCACTCAATGTGAGGCCTTGACACGTCTGTTTCTTTCCGGTTTCTTCTCTTGCGTGGTTTTTTTGGGTTATTTGTTTCTTGTTGGCCGCCACTCAATGTTGAGTTATGGACTTCAGCCCATGTACGTATGCGAGGCCCATACGTAACATGCCTAGCTCGGCCATAGCTCGGGTTATGGTGTACCGAATATAAATATGTGTATGCATGTACTTGTTGAGCATATGAATATACGAGACCCCATTTCCTGCCGTGGACTAGTCTTGCTCTCACTGAGCAAGGAAACCACGTTAAATCCTGTGTCGTATTCTGTTTCAATCCTAGTCTTGATTTTGCATCTCCGTATCGATTATCATGGTATCAGAGCTTTCTCAAATGGATTCTGATCGTATCTCTGCGCGTTTGAACTCGAAAAATTACGCGCTCTGGGAGTTCCAGTTCCGGATCTACATCGAGGGGAAGGGTCTCTTTTCCATGCTCGATGGTTCGTCACCAAGACCTATTGTTCCGCCTGCTACCGCTGCGGCTTTGTCGGCCTGGCTGCAAAATGACGCTCGCGTCAAGACCGCCCTCCTCAATTCTGTCGAGGCATCGATTGTTCTGGGGCTACGCGCTTTGCCCACCGCCGCCGCCATGTGGGCAAACCTAGCTGAAACCTACGGTACGACAAGTGTTGCGCGGCAGTTCGATATTGAAATCGAACTTTCCCAGCTTCAGCAAGGGGATCGTGATGTTGTTTCCTATTACAACAAGGCTCGGCAACTGTGGACTGAGCAAGACCTGATCTCCGCTGCGTTGGTTCCGTCTAGAATTACTGTGGAGGCCAAGGCTGCGAAAGAACGCATTCGGCTGCTCCAATTTTTGGCGCGCCTCCGCCCTGAGTTTGAGAACCTCCGAGCTACTTTGATTCACCGTGAGCACTTGAAGGTGGAGGGAATTCTCAGTGCTCTCCTGCAGGAGGAGACTCGGCTGCACACGCAATCCCTACTCGACGTCAAGCCAGGTCAGGGGGATACGGCGATTTTTTTTGTCGGAGGGAGTCGCACCGCCAATCCTGCTCGTGATCCACCTGCTCGTGGCCAGCGGACTTCTTCTCCTCGTGCCACCCCTGCTGTGTCCGACGCTGACGCCGAGGAATCGGCATATGCTGCCTTTCGTCCACCGCCGCGACGCTCCGACGTGGAGTTCCATCACTGCCGCGCCAAGGGCCATACTCAGAAGTATTGCCGCAAGCGCAACTGGTGTGTACTGTAACCGTGCTGGCCATATCATCGCCGATTGCCCATCCTTGCAATCTCGCATGAAGGAGGCGGGTGTTTCTTCCGGAGGGTTGCCATCTGCTCGCCCTGTGTTTGCTGCCCAGCCAGCCAGCTCTGGCGATGGTGTTGTTGTGACATCTGATGCCTTGGAACAGCTTGTTAACAAAGCTATTGCTTCGGCTTTCTCCAGCCTTCAAGTCTCGGGTAAAGTTCCCTCCTGGATCCTTGACTCCGCCTGTTTTAATCACATGACTGGTCAATTGTCTGCTTTAAACGATGTTCGTCCAGTAGATAATCTTGCTCTGCAGGTTGCCGACGGAAACAAGTTAAAATTCGAGGGTGTTGGTTCTGTTACCCAGCCTTTGTTGTCTCTCCCGTCTACTTTACATGTTCCTCACTTAGTTCCTAATTTGGTTTCCGTTGGTCAGCTCACTGAACAAAACTGTCGAGTGGTTTTTGCACCGTCTGGTTGCTCTGTGCAGGATCTGACGACCGGGAGGGAGATCGGTCGGGGTAGCAAGCGTGGCCGCATTTTTCACTTGGAGGAGCTTGATGCGCGGCCTCCAGTCACATCATCATCATCATTTTCGGTGTCTAGGGTATCTCCTTCTTCGGTGTCTAGGTTTTCTGGTCTGCCTGTCTTTTCTAGTACTCGTGATAAACTTTTTCATTTGTGGCATTCTCGTATGGGTCACCCTAATTCTGGTCGGCTATTGACAATGTTTAAACAAAAATTATTTGGTGATAAAGTGATTGGTGATTCATCAGATTTTTCGTGTACTTGCTGTGTTGAGGCCAAAGCCACTCGAATTTCATTTCCACCTAGCCAAACGACCATTCTTGAGCCTTTTCACATCATTCACACTGATCTATGGGGACCCAGTCCTGTGACTTCTCGCCATGGCTACAAATACTTTGCTCTTTTTGTTGATCATGCCACTAGATTTACGTGGGTCTACTTTCTCCGCCTCAAATCCGACCTTCTTACTGTTGCCACTGATTTCATCACTATGATTCGTACCCAGTTTTCCAAACCTAATCGTGTCATTCGTGCTGATGAAGGTGGCGAATTCAGTTCTCATCCCCTTCTTCAGCTCTATAGATCGCATGGTATTCTTCCTCAAAAAGCATGTCCTGGCACTTCCCAGCAAAATGGTTTGGTTGAACGCAAAAATAGACATGTTATGGAGATTACTCGTGCCCTCTTGTTAGCATCGCATGTTCCTTCTTCCTTCTGGCCTGAAACCGTGTCCACAGCTGTTCGTCTCATCAACTATCAAATCACCCCGGTTCTTGACCAGTCCAGTCCCTACTTCCGCCTCTATGACAAACATCCACCCTACTCACGTCTTCGAGTTTTTGGTTGTACTTGTTTTGTCTTGCGTCCTCGGTCTGAACGCACCAAGCTTATGTCTAAAACTGCTCGGTGTGTTTTTCTTGGTTATAGTGACATCCATAAAGGTTACCTCTGTTTCGAACCGTCCACTCAACGACTTAGGGTTTCCTGTAATGTGATCTTCTTTGGGAACTTGATGTTCTACTCTAGCCCTTCTTCCGAGTCTCCGTCACTGTTTTCCTCTTCCATTGGTCCTCCGTCCTTCGCCGATGATGATGTTGACGCCCTTGAAGATGAGCTACCCCCCGACTCCCCTCCTGCTTCTCCCAGCTCGTCGTCCAGTGGGTCTTCTTCACCATCATCCGCCGGGTCGTCTTCTGATGCGTCCCCAGCTGTCGCTGCTTTTCCTCTCCGCCGGTCTCTTCGTACCACCCAGGGGCAACTTCCTGCCCGTCTTCATGACTTTGTGACATATGGTGTTGACGCCATTCCCATCCCGACTCGTTATCGGGAAGCACAGGGTAATCCACATTGGGAAGGCGCTATGGATGATGAGTTTGCTGCCCTCCATGCGAACCACACGTGGGATGTTGTTCCTCGTCCCCCGCCTGAGGTCCCTGTGGTTGGTAGCCGGTGGGTTTACACTCTTAAGATGCGTCCTGACGGCACCCTCGAGAGGTATAGAGCTCGTGTTGTGGCTCATGGGTTTACTCAGGCCTTTGGTGTGGACTACAACCAAACTTTTGCTCCAGTTGCGAAGATGGTCACTGTTCGATCTCTCTTGGCTGTTGCTTCTCGACAAGGTTGGCCTCTGTTCCAGTTAGATGTCAAAAATGCATTTTTGCATGGTGATCTGCAGGAGACAGTCTATATGGAGTGTCCACTAGGATATTCCTTGGGTTCGCGTGATCAGGTTTGTCTGCTTCGTCGTTCGCTTTATGGTCTCAAACAGGCACCTCGTGCCTGGTTTGAGAAGTTTCAGCATACTGTTTTGGAGCTTGGATTTCAGCAGAGTCTCAATGATCCCTCCTTGTTTACTCGCCGTACCTCTCGTGGCCTTGTTGCTTTGCTCCTGTATGTCGACGATATGATCGTTACTGGTGATGATTCGGCAGGGATTGAGGATCTCA